CAGGTGACAGGGGACACACCTGTCCGTGGTGCTCGGTGAACAGCCGCACACTGGGCCGGGGGACAGGGGACACAGGGGACAGGGGACATTGGTGACACAGGTGAAGGTGGTGACACAGGTGACGGGTGACACAGGTGACACAGGTGACAGGGGACACACCTGTCCGTGGTGCTCGGTGAACAGCCGCACGCTGGGCCGGGGCCCCAGGCCGCTCTGGCTGTAGCTGCAGATCTGCGCCACCAGCGGCGTCCACTGCGCACAGTGAGTGAGGCGATCAAACTCGTCCAGAGCCGCCTCCTGCCACAGGTCACCCTCGGGGTAACTGCAGATCTGCGCCACCAGCGGCGTCCACTGCGCACAGTGAGTGAGGCGATCAAACTCGTCCAGAGCCGCCTCCTGCCACCCCTCACCTGCGGGGACAGGGACACCGTGGGGACAGGGACACTGCGGGGACAGGGACACCGTGGGGACAGGGACACCGTGGGGATGGTGACACTGTGAGGAATGGCACTGGACAGGGCCATGGGCCACCCCCCGAGGTGACAGGCCCATGTGCCACCCCCAGGAGGTGACAGGGCCGTGTGCCACCCCCACTCAGTGTACCACCCCCAGGAGGTGACAGGGCCATGTGCCACCCCCCCAGGAGGTGACAGGCCCATGTGCCACCCCTGCTCACCGTTGGGGACAATCCCGGCCAGGCTGCACTCGATGGCCTGGAAGGGCAGGCTCAGGAAGTCGCTCCTGCAAGGACACGGGTGAGGACACTCCCAGGGGACAGGGACATTCCCCAGGAGTGTCACCCCCTGCCACACCTGAGGGCCCGCAGAGCCTCGGGGGGAGCCTCGCCGTTGTCCCCAAAGTCCACGTAGTACAGGTCCAGGTGGCCGTTGTCCAGCGTCCCCAGGACACGCGCCCGGTACCACTCGCCATCCTCCAGGTACGGAGCGGCCACGATGGCACCGGGGTGGAGGGACGGGGGCGGCACCTGGGGACACGGGGACAGTCAGGGGGACACGGGAGGGACAGCAGGGGACATGGGGACATAAGGGACAGCGGGGGACAGTGCTGGGACAGGAGGGGACAAGGGACAGGATGGGACAGGATGGGACAAGAGGGGATAAGAGGGGACAAAGGACAGAACAGGACAAGGGACAAGAGGGGACAGTGCTGGGACAGGAGGGGACAGGAGAGGACAGGATGGGACAGCAGGGGACAGTGCTGGGACAGCATGGGACAGGAGAGGACAGCAGGGGACAGTGCTGGGACAGGATGGGACAGGAGGGGACAGTGTTGGGACAGGAGGGGACAGGAGGGGACAGTGTTGGGACAGGAGGGGACAGGAGGGGACAGGAGGGGACAGTGTTGGGACAGGATGGGACAGGATGGGACAGGATGGGACAGGAGGGGACAGGAGGGGACAGGAGGGGACAGTGTTGGGACAGGATGGGACAGGATGGGGATAAGGGACATGGGGGACATTGCTCAGACAAGAGGGGACACGGGATGGGGAGGGGGGACACGGGATAAGGGACAGAGCTGGGACATGGGATGGGGTAAAGGGACATGGAGGGGACAGCGCTGGGACACAGAGGGGACACAGAGGGGACACGGAGAAGACACAGAAAGGACACAGAGGATCACATGGGACACACAGGGGACACAGGGGACACAGGGGACACTGCAGGGACAGACACACACAGAGGGGACACACAGGGGACACACAGGGGACACACAGGGGACACAGGGGACACAGGGGACACTGCAGGGACAGATGCACACAGAGGGGACACACAGGGGACACACGGGACACACAGGGGACACACAAGGGACACACAAGGGACACAGAGGACACACAGGGGACACAGGGGACACTGCAGGGACAGACACACACAGAGGGGACACAGGGGACACACAGGGGACACACAGGGGACACACAGGGGACACAGCAGGGGGCAAGGCAGGGCCAGAGGCACACCGAGGG